AGCCTGGCGAAGGAACCAACCATATGCAGTTGTGAGTACCGTCTTTGTGAGCAACGCATTCGGTGGAGCTCCCGATGGGGCCACGAAGCGCTGTGCTGGGTGTGGCGGACGCATGCGCCCCCCCACTGGGGCCTTCGGTGGAGCTCCCTATGGGGCCACGAAGCGCTGTGCTGGGTGTGGCGGACACATGCACCCCCCCCCCCCACACTGGGGCCTTCGGTGGAGCTCCCTATGGGGCCACGAAGCGTTGTGCTGGGCGTGGCGGACGCATGCGCCCCCCCATTGGGGCCTTCGGTGGAGCTCCTTTTATGGGGCCACGAAGCGCAGTGCTGGGTGTGGCGGACGCATGCGCCCCCCCCCCCACTGGGGCCTTCGGTGGAGCTCCCTTTGAGACCACGAATCGCTGTGCTGGGTGCGGCGGACGCATGCGCCCCCTCCACTGGGCCTTCGGTGGAGCTCCCTATGGGGCCACGAACGCTGTGCTGGGTGTGGCGGACGCATGCGCCCCCCCCACTGGGGCCTTCGGTGGAGCTCCCTATGGGGCCACGAAGCGCTGTGCTGGGTGTGGCGGACGCATGCGCCCCCCCCACTGGGGCCTTCGGTGGAGCTCCCTATGGGGCCACGAAGCGTTGTGCTGGGTGTGGCGGACGCATGCGCCCCCCACTGGGGCCTTCGGTGGAGCTCCCTATGGGGCCACGAAGCGCAGTGCTGGGTGCGGCGGACGCATGCGCCCCCCCCCCCCTGGGACCTTCGGTGGAGCTCCCTATGGAGCCACGAAGCGCTGTGCTGGGTGTGGCGGAAGCATGCGCCCCCCCCACTGGGGCCTTCGGTGGAGCTCCCTATGGGGCCACGAAACGCTGTGCTGGGTGTGGCGGACGCATGCGGGCTGTGCCACTGGGACATTCGGTGGAGTTCCCTATGGGGCTACGAAACGTGTGAGAGGTGTGCCTAGAGCAAAGGCGAGGAGGGGGAGGAGGGAGGAGGGGGAGGATGGAGGATGGAGGAGGGAGGAGGGGGAGGAGGAAGGAAGGAAGGAGGAGAGACGCGGGGCACCGTCTCTTCAAAACGAGGACCCAACACCACAGGATGGTTAGGAAAAAAGCTGAGGCCGACGCGTGATCACACACTTGGCGCATGAGCTCCGTGGGCAGAAGACGACGAACAAATGATTGCTTTACTCCCTGCCTCCGTGGGGTCCTCACCGGGTATTGGGGCCGTCCAAAAGCGGCCCAGGATGAAAAACCAAGTCCATGGGGGAGGGGTCGAGATCTCTGGGTGCCCTCGTTGTTAAAGACACTGACGTCTGGGGTCTGGGCACGAGACCGAAGAAAATGGACGGAAAGTCAAAAACAAGGGACGAACCGGAAAGGCCGTGCAGGGACAAGGGCAATCCACTGATAATCAGCGGGGCTATCCCAAGCAGGCTCCTTCACCACCGAAGAGCAGGGCAATTACGAAACGCAGGAGGCACACAGGGGACGACGGAGGCGGAGGGGGGAAGAGGAGAAGGAGGGAGAAGGAGGAGAGAGAGGAGGGAGGAGGAGGAAGAGATGGACGATGAGGAGGTTAGAGCGTATGGATGGTGGGGGATGGAAGGAAGACCGATGATCGAGAACTTTTGTTCTCGCGAAACCTGGACTTCCAAAACAACTCCAGAGAGCTCTGGGAACCTGTGGAGACCTCCGGACAGCGAGGTCCAAGGAGCGTGCCCAAACACACAACTTGTTCTTGGTGCCGCGGCGGTGCGCGCAGCGTCGCAGCGGAATCATGCAGGTGGGGAGTCGACATAGCAACAACATCTGCATATTGTGTTTCCAGCGGCCCCATCCGTGAATGTCAAGCAAGGTGCATGTGACGAGCCCCTGTCCTTGATGAATGTTCTTAGTATGGCGTTCCAGGTGCATGTACCTGCGAAGTGATGTACAGTGGTGGCGTCGATTCGTCACCACTGTTCCTGGTGTCTGATCCAGATCTGATTTCGGTGTGGACGCTTGATGCTTGCTATGGGCGTTCGTTGTTGAAGTCTGTAAATGAAGCATGCCCTTGAAGAGTATTACCGATGTGTGCTATTTGTGCCTGTTCACTGTGTGTTGTCGATGCATCATATTGATGTATGTGATTGATGCGTGCCACCAGTGTTGCGGTGAGGGCATTTGATAAGGAACCATTGGATAAGGAATCCAGGGTCTGGGAGCTGGTGGAAGTCCAATCAGTGGTTGGCCATGAATATCACCGCCGCCCTCATCAGATAGGGAGCCCTCCAGGGTCTGAAGCCTCCTGGGCACGTTCCTCAACGAACGCCCCCACCGTATGGATGTATGTTCGTGGTCTATGGTGTTGGTGCCTGTGCTCGCAGTGTGTTCGTAACACATCACTGCTACAGGCGTGTGGTATTGAGCTATGAATGTGTGGTCTGGCCGCCACAAACTTCTGTATATGACTCGTGCACGTTAGTTGCGACTGCTCGCGACGCCTGCTTCTGGTGCCCGTTATTGCTATACTTGACTGGCGCATGTGATTGATGCATCGATAGTCTTGGTGACTGTGATGGATGCCTGTTACTGATGCGTGTAAGTGTTGTGTATCGTTGGGGGTGTGTTCGGACTGCTTGTTAGCGACGTGTGTCCTTGATGCACGTTCCTTGGTGTATGCTGTTTGCGTCTTTCCCACATGTCTGTGGACAGCGTGGTGTCGTGACGCTTGGACGGCGTGACGTCTCCCTGGTGGGATTGTATGTTAGCTACGCCTGACCTATCTGCTTCTTCATTCAGTCGCCATGACTCTCGGGGATCTCTGGAGCCTGGCGGCTGCAGTGTGCTGGGCGGGCGAAGCGAGACATCCAGGCGCCATCCTGACTCTGGGGGCCCTGGCGGCAGCGATATGCAGGGCGGGCGAGGCGGGCTGACCAAGAACCACCCCAACTGCTGGCGTGGCGGCCGCGGTACGCAGGCCTGGCGAGGCGGGTCGGGGATCTTCCATCTGCAACCTCAACCTGCCGGGTGGGCAAACATGTGAAGGCCGACTGTAAATGTCCTAAGATTTTCGGCAGCAGGCCGCTTCCAGGAGCCTCAATAACCCCGCAATGCGTCCCAGGACAGCGCAAAAACGGTCACAATGCGGCCCCAATATTGCCGAGAAACGTCCTGCCCAAGAAGACTCCAAGACGGTCCGAAGAGCCGTCCAGCCGCCCACAAAATGATTCAACTCAGCCTCTTCGGGGAAGCTCGCTAGAACCACCGCCCGTCGCCCCTAAAACGGACTGGAGACGACCCACTGTGCCCCCAAGAACGCCCCAGAAGCCCCAAGCGGGCCCGAGAGACCGCAAATAAATTCAAGCAACCCTCCACCTTGCCTTCGAGATCGGAGGAAGGGGGCATGAGGAGTGCAATCAAGAGTATCAGAATACCCACATGCTCGGGGGGACAACTCCGCTATCCCCACACCACCAGAAGCAGGTCAACAGCATCCTGTTGGCCACTGTTGGGTGGACATTTCCTTCGCGATCTCGCAGTCGTCGCTAGGCCACTCACCCTGCGACCGGTCCCACGTTACGGAATGCCTCACATTGCCCCGAAACTCGTTATCGGTGGCCGAGGGCGCTAAACTCCAAATCCGATACCACCCTCAATTGGCTACTGCCCGTTCCCTTGCGGCGCCGAAGCCGCTGCTCGAACTAACGCTCCACAGGCCCTTCGATGCCGACGTCTGCCCGGCGCGCGGTCGTGGGGCGAGCGGCGTTGGTCGCGTGATCCCCCACGGCCTCCGGACGAGCCTGCTGCTGAGCTGGCGCCCTTCTCCCAATAAGGCAGTTCCCTGTGGAAATGAACCCCTGTAGTGGCCTATGAAGAGAGAGCTTGGAGGGAGGGCGTATTTCAACATCGCTGAGCCTTGGGTGTGCACTGGTCCCCTTCCACCTCCTCTTCCTCGTCCTCTCCTACTCAACGTTCTCTCGGGCGTCGCGTAAGGGAGGGGTATCAACAGGGGGTCTAGAAAGGTGCGCCCAGGGGGCCCCTCCTCTTTGTCGGACTCCTTGGCTGCAGCCCTTAATCCTCCGCTCAGTTCTCGCCCTCCCTATTGCGAAACGCCCGATCCTCCCCCTCCTCCTCCCCCTCCTCCTCCTCCTCCTCCTCCTCCTCCTCCTCCTCCTCCTCCTCCTCCTCCCTCGTTTGGGGCGGCGCGGCTGGCGGGGACGACAGCGACGGCGGCGGCGGTGGCGACGGCGTCGTGGCCAGGGCGGCCGCAGCGCGCAGCTGCCGCAGCTCGGCCGCCAAGGTGCGGTGCTCCTCCACGGGGCCACGGGTGCAACTGCAGGGATTCAATCTGGTGCCGTCCCCGCGCTCATCACGGGACCCCAACATCATCGATGAGAACTGACACCAACACCGACGACCCTGGGAACCCCGTGACCCGTCGGTACTGGGAACACCATCAGCGAGAACCCTGGGGGGGAGGGGCGAGGGGGGAGGAGGGAGGGGGGAAGGCAAGCCTGGTGCGCTGGCGCCACATCTGACATCCTGTCACTCCCTCCCATCCCTTCCCATTGCGCTGATGCTTCTTTCTCCGCGGACGCGTGTCGCAGCGGACCTGGAACTCCAAGAAAGCCCCCATCGTGTTATCTCCGTGCGTAGGAGGAGGTGGAGGAGTAGGAAGCGGTGGCGGACGAGCAGGAAGATGAGCAGGAGGAACAGGAGGAGGTAGAAGAGGGGCTCAATGCACATATGTGTACACACATGCCCGCAGGTGAACCTTCGCGAGCTTGCGCTCAAAATGACCACCTTCATGGTTTCGTATTCGAGCCTTGCTGGCAATTGATATGGCAAACCATGGGGATCCAAGCGCCCACTGTCAGTATGACCCTACCACCCATACCTCAAGCGTATGTGTTCGCACTCGGTGTCGGCAAACTAATCGCAATCTGGTTGTCGCTTTTTAATTGGAATGTCGCTCCGGATTAGTGGCTTGTGATTTCGTGTCTACGACTGCGAACTTTGCGGAGCCAGGTGCCACTCCACCCTGTCGCCTGGATCATCAACGGGTCTTGCTCCAAGAACACAGCCCTGAATCTTCCGATGTGGTCGCGGAAAGCGCGCAGCGTCTACAATAAGAGAAGAAGATATAACCACGCGGCGAATACTAGCGCGTACCGGCCCTATACGCTCGGATCAGACTCAATTGCAATCCGCTGGTTAACACCTGGAGGCCACAGCTCAGCAAAACCGCGCTGCAATGGCAACATCAATATTCCCCAGCCTCCCCGCGTGCGAGGCCTTCTCTCTCATGCTTCTCTCAGACCACGAGCGGCGAACAAATCCATATCCACGCCCTCGCGGTCTGGATCCTGAGGCGCGACTCTGTGGACACGCGGGCGCATGGACACGCTCCGCGCTGGGCATCCGCGAAAAGACGCCCTGTATTCATGGGGGCGTGGCCCATGGGGCGGCCCGTAAGGCCGTGGAGATGGATGGTTCCCGCCCACGACCTTGCAGAGCTCAAGACCTCCTGCTCGGTTTTCCGAGCCGGCCACTGCGGCGCAACCGCTCCTCCGCCAGAGACGCCACCTCGGCCTCCAGGCTGCGGTAGGACTCCGTCGGCGGCCTATGGTGGTCCTAAGGGAACACATATTCTTCCCCATCCTTGTCATCGCTTGGACGTCCATTCCCCGTGCATGTTTCGGTGTCGTGCGTGCATCTATCTAGCAAGATGGCCCACATGCTCCTCGATGGTCCTGGCCGTGAAAAAAAAACGAGCACGCCCGAGCGATGGCAAGCCATCGCAAGCTTGGAGAAGGGGGCGTCGACAAGCGGGACACCCAGTCCCAAACCCCCTGGCGTTGTGATCACATCGCGACGAGGGCCCCCCCCTCCTCGGGAGCGACGATAGAGGCGAATACAGCCGAACATGGGATCAAGCAACTTATATCGTAGAAGACCTGGGCTAGCTTTCCAGAAACTTTTTAAGACAAGCCTGGGCCAGGTGTTCATGTTAACGCTGGAGGGGCGAACGCACTCAAGACACTGGGCCGGCGTTCCAGCAAGGTGGTTAAGAAGCGCTGGCCCAACGTTTCGGCAGGAGGTTTCTGAATCAGCTGCTCGAGTGTAGCCCAAGGGAGAACAATATACACCCTGCGAAATGCTTAAGAAACCATGGGTTAAGAAACTCATAGTCTCAGAAATGGAATAAAACCCAACATTTCTATGAAAATATTAGGATTTACATTGAAAAATTAAGAATACTCGAGACTCTGGCCGAAAACTTACGTTTTCTTAAGCATCGCCTAAGGTGTATGTATCCGAGGGCACCCGCCGAGGCCTTCGGCGAACCTCTCCCAGGCAAACACGTGCAGTGTGCCCGCCCCTGGGGCTTCTCGCCCCTATCGTCGCCGCCGACCCCTGAAGTCTCGACCCACTATCCTAGGGCTCCCAACTTCGCGCTTCGCGCTCCGCGAAGCGCGAAGCGCGAATAACTTCGGGCCCTCGCGCCGCCCCCCCAAAGGGAGAAAAGGAGGACGAGGAGGAGGAGGAGAAGGAACGAGGACCGCGAAGCGCGAAGCGCGAATAACTTCGCGCCCTCGTGGGAGCCCTTGCTATCTGGGAACGGCCTCTCACCCCGAGTCACTATTCTGACGGCCCTGGGGCCCAGCGGAGCTCCTCGGGGCCCCTGGGAGGGCGACAGCTATCAAAAGCTTTCCGTCCCGGTTTTCTGCCACGACGCGGAGGCATCCTGGGACCGCCGAGACACCCGACCGCTGTGCGACCCGACCCGGGAAGCGCACCCGTCCACGCGCGAACCCCGTCCCCGCAGGTCACTTCTGCGAAACATCGCGGCGGCAAGGGCTCCAGATGTGAGATAGGCCTGCAAGGAAGTGAAGCCCCCGCGGGGGTCTCCAATCTCCCAACGGCGGTGGGACCCGCAGGGCTGCAAAAAAACCGAAGGATTGCAAAAAAAACCCTTGAACGAAGGGTTTTTTTTGCAATCCGTCGCAGGGTTTTTTTTTGCAATCCTTCGTTTTTTTTGCAATCCTTCGGGTTTTTTTGCAATCCTTCGTCCGGGGTTCGCAAGTGGTCGCGGAGCCATCCAACTCGCACGAGCCGCACCGTGGCGCGGGGCACTCCGTGGCGAGAGGACTTTGATGCCGATGGGTCGACGACCTGTGCTCCGTGATTGTCGGAGTTGGACGCCCGAGTTATCCGGGGTAACTCGGGTCCGGGGTAACTCGGGTTTGGGTTCCCGAAAAACGAACCCGAGTTAGCCCTGACCCGAGTTACCCCTGATGATTCGGGGCCCTGGACGCCCGAAATATCCGGGGTAACTCGGGTCCGGGATAACTCGGGTTCGGAATCCCGAAAAACGAACCCGAGTTAGCCCTGACCCGAGTTACCCCTGATGATTCGGGGCTCTGACGGAGGGCTGCCAGGGAGCTGCACGCACGCATGGCTGAGTTCGCGTGCGGAACACGCGAAGGCCTACTGCCCTCGTCAAAATTAGCCTCAAAAGTTGCCGGCACGTCATTTCGATTTCGGCGCGCCCCTCAATGTCGACACGCCGCCCCTTCAATGTCGGGGCGAGGGCAAAGATAGTCTGACCGAAGTCGACTCGAAAGTTTGACGTCGACCGACATTGGAGGGGCGGCGCATGCAAGTACCCCGCACTCATCGATACTCGGCCCCAGATCTCCCGACAAGCAGTTCAACCACGTCAGACATTTTTGAGGTTGATTTTGACGAGGGTTGTAGCGCTGGATAAACATGCGGATGGCCAACGCCCCTGTGCACGCAAAGCGTGGGCGCTGGAGAGACATGCGGCCACATGTTCATTCAGCTCTCGCCCGGGACAGTCATGTCACGTGTATCCAGCTTCCTGGTAGAGGTTTGCGCCGACACTAATGCAGCAAAGGCGATCCATGAGATTTGGTTGGCCAAAAGACCCTCTGTCGAATTTCTGACCGAATCTTGCGCTAATGCTGGGCCGGCTTCGCGAGCAGAACTGGGTGCATCTGCAGGGGCCGAGCATCTGGGCAAGTGTCCTGGAAGCTGCCCCAGGAATGCTGGGCCAAGGCGATCAGTAGTAGTAGTAGTAGTAGTAGTAGTAGTAGTAGTAGTAGTAGTAGTAGTAGTAGTAGTAGTAGTGGTAGTAGTAGTAGTAGTAGTAGTAGTAGTAGTAGTAGTAGTAGTAGTAGTAGTAGTAGTAGTAGTAGTAGTAGTAGTAGTAGTAGTAGTAGTAGTAGTAGTAGTAGTAGTAGTAGTAGTAGTAGTAGTAGTAGTAGTAGTAGTAGTAGTAGTAGTAGTAGGAGTAGTAGTAGGAGTAGGAGAGGTTTCAATGATCGGCGCACATCGTAGTTCGCCACCACCTGACAGCAGGTGGTTCAGGATCCCGGGTCTGCTGGCAATCTCCAGGCCACCTGAGAAGCCCGGACGTTACCACCGTCGCCGGGGTCGGGTGCCAGCTTCACTGATGCCAACCGCCGCATCCATGCCTCTCAACGGAGCTGCGCACCGAGAGCTCCAAGGACACGAGGTGGTAGCCGGCGTGCCCGCCCAGGCGTCGCCATGTGCGCAGGAAAGTGCGTCGGCAACTGCGCGTGAGGGGGTCCATGCCCCAAACAGAAGGTGTTCTGCGCCTGACGATGCACGAGCGAAAGTATGCTAGCGCGTGCGCCCCACACCGTTTGTATGTAGAGCACTTCGTGAGGTGTCCTGCGTATGGAATCCTGGGTGAGTGGGTCCCTGTGCGTGCGAAGCCCAATGTGCTTAGGCCCCTGTGCGCAGAGCCCTGAGCGTCTGTGTGAGATCCTCTGTATGTTGAGCCCTGTGCGAGGCACAGGGCCGTACTGATCCCAGCAATCAAAGCCGCACGGTGAGAGCATTGGATACGGAACCCTTGGATAAGGACTCCAGGGTCTGGAGGCCGGTGGAACACGAACTGAGGCTTGGCCAGCCATAGACATCGCCGCCACACCATCAGATAACGAACCCCCCAGGGCCTGAAGCCTCCTCGACGCTTCCCCCAACGAACGCCCCAACCGTAGCGATCCAAGATCTTACGGGGGCAAGGTTAGCCCACAGGCCGAGGCCGCGCTACTGTCGATGTTGGTTAGCGGTGATGTTGGAAATATGTGTTCTGCGACGCCGAACTCGCGCAGAACAAATGGATGGAAATCACGAACCACACTCTCCTACATTTCGAATTTGCGAATGCATCGAACAAAAACAACACGGTGAAGTGTAGGAAAGCGCGTGCTTTCCTACACTTGGCTTGGCCACGAACCAACCTCGCCTACCATACCGAAACCTGCATCGCCGCTACATACATCGCGCGTCTACGGACAGGGCCATGGCGGTCCAAGCAGCCAACGCCACTGCGGTCCAAGGACCGATGGGAAGACGTGCCCTACACAGGATCCCGTGGGCGCTGGGCCGAGCACCGGGCCTCTGCGGTCCCGGCAGCCAAACCCATGTCGGTGCAGTTACTCGCGTCGGCGGCGAGCCCGCGGGGGGAAGCGAGAAGGGGCGGGCCTCCTGCCTCTAAGGCTCGAAAGGCCTCCGGCCTTCTGACAAGTTTCCTTTGCCTTTCCCGACGTTTTCGAACATGTCTCAGAAAGGCGGAAGGCTTCTGAGAAGCCCTGCCGCCTCCTGAGAAGACCTCTTCCTTCTTGCTTCCCCACGGGGGCGCCGCCGATCAGGGAACACGTGCACGGCACAACAAGAGCAGCTCCTCGCGCATTTCACAAGTAAGAGCCCCCAAATGCAAGCACTGTTTTGAGAACCGCGAAGGGAGCTGAGGCCGACGAGCGCGATTGCATGGAATGTTTGAGCCATGTCCGAACGAACATGCGGGTTGAAATACACAGCGCTCCTCTGGTGATCCAAGCCCTTGCAGCCCTTGCAGTTCTATCTTGCGCACCGCTGCGCGCACGTGGGCGTCGACCTCCTGATTGGGCATGTGACTCAGCTGTGCAATTCTCCCTTCCTGGCCGCCATCGTTGCAAGATGCCCGCCTCTGCTGCCCTAAATGACCGCGTCATTGGTGCTGCCGCCGCTGCTGCCGCAACTGTGGGAGCACTGGCAACAACGTGCTTCCCGTAAGTCGAAACGTCATGGTTCTCTTGGCACGTTAGGGTGTGTTGAAAGTACATGCGAGCTGTCGGTTAGGGTCTGCAATCTCCTGAGGGCGACCCCCGCCAGCCGCGAGGGGCTCAACGTACACACCCGCCCTGGGCCAAGGATGTCTCAAGCGAGCTCCAAGACGGCCTGGAGACTCGACCAGATGGTACCAACAACCACCTACAACAACACTCAACAACAACGAACTACAGGACGTCACCGAGACACCCCACGAAGCCCCCAGTAAGCCCTTAAAGAAGTAACGGGCCAGCCGCTAGGATGTCGCAACAATCAACAAGGCCATGAACATGTTCTTTAGATGTCATGCTGTTTGGTTTGGGACTGGTTTTGGGAAAGCTTCAGGCAACCCCGGGAAGCGCCCAAACGCACAAACACTGCCGAGAGCCACACAAGACGGCCCAAAACCGCCCCGAGAAGGCTCCAATACCAGCCCCAGGATGGGTCAACCGACCCGTTCGGGGGAGCTGGGTCTCCAAGAGGCCCTTCAGAGGCCCCCAAGAAAGCTCCAAAAGGCTCCCTATGACGCCCCAAAGAAGTCTCCAAGGGGCACCGCAACAATCATTCAACGTTTCAGCCGCGACACACAACAGCATCTCAGCGATGCCTCCCAGGCAATTCCAATATGGTTCCACCGAATAGGTTCGGAAGAGCTCGATGAAACCTCACACATAGATTTCGATGATGCGCTTGCACTGGTGGGGCTTGTCGCAAGCAACTGGAAACAAACAAATCAATTGAGCAATGCTTCTGGTGTCATCTTTGTCCCGCGGAACGCCCGAGTCCATCATTATCTCTCTCGTTTGGAGTCTCAACGTGTATGTTCGGCCTTTTCGTCATACCCAGGCTCGTGCCCACAATCTTACAACGACGTGTTCACACGTACCCGCGCGATACCCATAAAGCACACATGAGCATGCGCTCATGCATGCACTGACATGCATTCACACATTCATGGTTGTGAAAACAGCCAGTCACATGCAGCGCGTCAATCAACGCCTAGCCCGTCGCTACCCTGGGGGAATACTGGGCATCGACGGCCGGGGCAACATGGACAGTCACTCACGGATGGCACCGAGCAACTGGCAGCGCTAGAGTCCTAGTTTGAAGGTACTCCGAAGAAGGACGATGGACAAAGCGGCCGATTACGAGAGGCCCTCAAGACCAATGAGCTAGCTATGCGCCCTCAGCGCTACCTTCGAGGGGCCACAGTAGCAAGTAGCAAGCATGGACGACCCACAACAAGAGCCAGCACAGCATCAAATACTGCGACCGCCGGACCGTCTCTGCCACTTGAACCAACATCGGCTCATTACCAGGCTCTTCCACCGACCAACTTCCGATGCCCAACCAAGGCAAACCCCACCCTGCGTCTCCACATCATCATCTTTCCTTTCCTCATCCTCCCTTGTTCCCACCCACGCTGCGGACACAGCCAGAGAGAGAAAAGGGGAAATAAGCAGCGGGAGGGAGTCAACTGGGGGAAAGCAGAGAAAGGAGCCAGGGAGAGCTGACGAAGGCGCTGGGGACCAGGCGTGGAGACTGATGGGGAGCTCGGGACCGAATAAGGAAGCACGGTTGATTTACAAATCCTGCACCGCCTGCGAAGCTGGGGTGTTCGCACAAATTTGGAAACACCCCTCGTGCCTCCGGTTCAATTATGATTGGCCCTGCCCACGGGGTGCACGATTCTGATTATTAGAATGATCGACAAAGTCGCGCTGCAACCCGTCAATACTGAATTGGAGGCGTCGGGGAGTACTGCCAAACATCATTGGAAACTGTATAGGATTTGTCCAACACTAGAAGCTGGAGGCTGGGCCAGAGAGGGAGCTGGGGACCGAGTAGGGAATGAAGCTGGCGTCTCGTCTTTTTCATTCCTCTACCCTCCAGCGTCCGCCGCCCTTCCAAATCATTCAGTGCTCTCCCTCCTCTCTACGCCGTCTTTCCTCCTCGATGCTCCTGCACGCATCGTCTATGTTCCATTGGTCTCGCCCTTCTCCTCATTGAGGTTTCTGGAGGTACCCTGGCACAGACTTGTGAGATGACTTATGACTAATGGTGGGGCATTGAAGCTTGCAGGGTCCGCCTTGGAAATAATTTTTGGGCAGTTGGAAGAGCAATGTGCCACTGACATCGACCGTGCAAATACAATGGAGGAAAGAAGAAGAACAGACATGTTGGACGAGGAACATGGGTGATCAGGAGGCGGAACAAATAAAGACCCGCATATGCGCGACCTGGGGTACTAATTCCTGGGCGCACCGCTGCACCGTTGCACTCTTAACCGCAACGGTGCGCCCCTGCACCACTGCAGCCGTAGCAGTTAACGGTGCAGCCCTGCACCACTGCACCCTTAGCCGCGGAACATGCAACGTTCAACGCTGCACCCTTACGCCCTTAGCCGCGAATGTACAGCCCTTTACCGCTGCACAGTTGCACCGTTGGCTCTCGGGGGCGCCCCGCCCCTGTTGCTGCTTGACGTTGCTGTTGTTATTGCTGGACTTGGTGTTGGTTTCTGTCGTCGCTGTTCGGGCTGCTCTGGCTGATGCTGCTAGCTCTCACTTCTTCAGGAGGAATATGGTGCCCATTATGTTCAACTGAATGGTCAGCCTTGGGTTCGCACCATGGTTTCTGTCAGTACAAGTATTGATGTTCAAACTGTGCCGCTGGGCCCCCTGCTGCAACTCCCCCACAACGTATTCAGAAATCGCGCATTCGGCTTAGATTTCCTAGCAATTGACTGAAGAATCGAACTGTCGCGCGGGACCACCCGACCATTCATTCAGGCGCTGCGCTTTCGACGTCCAAGAATCGCGCTCGCCCACGATACCTCCTCAGAATTTACCCAGGAACCGTGCTCCCGTTCTCGTCCTTTTCGCAATGCGCGAAATTCATTTCAATGCCCCGACCGCCCGACCCGCTAATCAAGGCCTGCCCGCTCGACCCTCCCGTCAGGGTCCGCCCGCCCGACCCGCCCAGAAGGCTCGCCCGTTCGGTTGGTCGAAAGCCTACCCGCCCGATTCAATGTCCTGCCCGACCGCCCGACCCGCCTGTCATCAGGGTTCACCCGCCCGGTCCGCCCATTAGGGTCTGTCAGCCCGACCCGCCCGTGAGCGCCCACCAGCCCGACTAGCGCATCGGGCCCACCCGTTCGCTTTAAGCCCGCCCGCCCATTAGCGCCCGCCCGGCCGATATGCCCATTGGGTAAGATCGCCCGACCCGCTCGGCAGGGTCAGCCTGCCACTTCTCCTGCTTGTCTTTCCTCCTCTGCTCCGAAGTCTATTACGTCTTCAATCCTTATATATCCCTCTTGCCCTCTTCTCCCTGGTTTCCTGCCCCTTTCCTCGCTATCTCACTTTCTCTTTTCTCCGCGTTCTTCATGTTTTCGGGGGCGCGCCAATTACGCGCGACAAGCAGTGAATATATGATCCCGAGCCGAGGGTTCACAGGCCCCCCCTACCAAATGAGATGGGTCCCAGGGTTCCACACGTCCCTCCCAGATGGGATGGGGGGACGATGAGGACGACGACGCCGTCGCCGTCGCCGACGCCGACCCCGACGCCGACGCGGACGCGATGCCGACGCCGACGCCGACGAAGCCGACGCCGACGAGGCCGACGCCAACGCCGCCGAACGACGACGACGACGACGACGACGACGACACTGACGCCGACGCCGACGCCGACGCCGACGGCCGACGCCGACGCCGACGCCACCGCCGATGACGACGACGAAGACGCCGACGCCGCCGCCGCCGCCGCCGCCGACGCCGACGCCGACGCCGACGCCGACGCCGACGCCGACGCTGATGCCGCCGACGCCGCCGCCGCCGTCGACGACGACGAGCCATCCCACATCCACAGGGGGAGGGAGGGGGGTGCACCCGCACCCTCCACCACGCCACGCCCACAGGGCCACGACCACCAGCGGGGTGAGCGATCCCATTCGCGAGGCATTTGCGAGGCTCACATGCGTACCCTGTCCTGTGTCCCTCAATATTTTCTGACCCCGGACTACAAGTACCTGCTGGACTACAAGTACCGTCTCCCCAGACTACAGGTTTCCCCCCCCCCCGGACTACATGTACCCCACCCCAGACTACAGGTACTTACCCCTTTCGGACAGGTGCCGCCCCCCGACTACAGGTAAGTACCCCCCTACAGGCACCCCTCCGAAGCTACAGGCGCTCCCCGATACTGCGGGAACCCCCGAGTTCGCCCCCGAGTCGAAACGGTCCGCCTGGAATGTCTCGGCTCACTGCCACACAAGCATTATGCGCAATTCGCCAATGTTGGGTCAGCGCTCGAGGCGGAGCACTCGCGCGGGACGAATGGAGACGGGGAGAGGAAGAGAACGAGAAAAGGAAAGAGAAATGACAGAGAAAGAGAATGAAGAAGGGAGGGAGAGAAAAAAAAAAGAGAGAGCGAGAGAGGGACAGGCAGACAGACAGATAGACAGACAGATGGACTGACTGACTGACTGACTGATGGAAACACGGAGAGATATTGTGAAAGCAGGAACAGAACGAGGGAGGGATTGAGAGAGGGAGAGCAAGAGAGAGAGAGAGGGATAGAGAAAGAGATGAACACGATGTATGCGTGCAGAAAGGAGGAGAGAGCATTATAGAGAGAGAGAGAGCGAGAAAAAGAGAGAGAGAGAGATAAAGAGAGAGAGTGCCAACGGATCGCGCGCGTGTTCGGGCGTGCGCAATCGCGCGCGTGGGAAAAACGCGCGGCCGCCCGCTCGCATGTTTGTTTGTTAAGTGACTGCGAAGCCCGAGCGCCGACTCAGCTGGCCTCTAAATGCCTCCTCACCTCAGGAATACTGCTGAACACTGTCTCATTCGCAGAGTTGTAATAATGATCAGGATTACCTGCTGAACTCCCTGCCTTGCGGATTTTGGATGGCGTCCACTAGTCGTGTGTGTGTGCGTGCGTGTGCAACGGTGCGCGTGCAGTCCCACGCGCGTAAACATCCACGCGCGCGGGATCCTCAGCGCGTGGAACCACGCGTCTGTTGACACGTGAACACACGCGCCCCCCCGGACTACAAGTACTCACCCCCGGAATGCAAGTTCCCCTGCCCCCGGACCACAAACCCTCCCCCCACCCGCACTACAGGCACCCCTCCCTCGGACTACAGGTACCCTACCCCGGACTACTGGTACCACCCTCCCACCGGACTACAGGTACCCCACCGGTCTACAGTTACCCTTCCCAGACTACAGGTACCCCCAGAACTATTAAGGGACACGTAATACCCATCCAGGGAGGGGGACTCGATCCCAGATGAATTGGGGCGGGGGGGAGGAAAAGGCGGGTAAGTTTGGATCATAACCCCCCGTGCGGGCACGATCGAATACGAAGCTCGCGGGTATCGAGGATTTCGGTTCATACATGTTGAGTGACGCACGATCACTGAAGAAAAATATAGATTGAACATGTGGCTGTTGTTATTGAATTCGCATGCTTAAGTGGATTGTTGTTATTCCCACATGCCTGGTGCCCATTACCATGTCCAGTCGGGGCGTCACCCCTCGACTCGCGACAACATTGACACGATGATATCTTAGCCCGCGACAGCTTGTGAAGCCCCGGAGAAGCTGCAATGGCTCCAGCCTGATACTTCATCCCGATGTATCGACGACCCGCACATTTTCCCGCTACGCTACTTCTTTGCAAATTACCAGCAGATCGCGCTCCTGCTCGGGACTTCACAATGTCAAATGCAATGGAGGTCGCTCCGCCGGGGCAAGTGAACACCGTTCGCTGCGTGGCGACAGAACGGCCCAGGGAAACGTGCTGCAAGGCCAGAAGGCGGAATAGAAATCATTCGCCACCTCCGACTGTTGGGCCTTGGGCAATCGCTGCGGCAGCCACGGGCACGGGCGCCAGGTCGACGACAACGACACGCCCGCAACAAACTCTACATTTTATAGCAATAAAACTCGAGCTCGAGTGTTACCGTGGGCCCTGCGGGGATCAGAAAACCTCAATGAAACCCGCCTGTTTCAATGCCCCGCTTGGCCCGCCCGCCAGGGTCCACCCAACTGGACCACCCGCTGAGGTCCCGCCTGACCTGCCCGTTGCTGGCCGCCCGTCTTATTGTTTGGGAGCCCGCTTGCCTGGTCAAATGCTGCACCAGCCCGGACCGCCCGCTAATTCAAGTCCACCCGCCCGACCCTCGCGGTAGGATCTGCCCGCGCATGTTCGTGCTCTTTGCAAGATCCCTCTCCTCAGCCCCCCCCTTCTGATTGGACCCGTTCCTTCTCGTTTTCGTGTGTTCCTCCTCATTTCAATTTCAAGAGCCAAGCCAAGGACATGTGACAAACAAAAGAAAGGCACCCCGTCAATGAAGGCCCGATGGATGACGAAACGGGAGTGAATCTAGGATTGGAGTTTACATGTCGAATGCTGCGCGGGCCGCGAAGGATGGTCAATTGTTTGATATATGTTGTTGCGGTTGTGTTCTCATCTCGGTTGAACAATGTGTGTTCGCCCCTCCTAAAATCCCCAGTGAATTCAATGGAATTGTGTGTCCACGTGGGGTTCCACATGGATCCTTCAGAAATCCGAAGGTCTGCACATCGACGGAAGTACTCCGGTTTTCTAAGATTCCGCCAAATCCAAGTGGCATCCTCAGGGCTCCCCAGGATTCCGCAACATGACATTCCCCCCCCCCTCCCCGCATCCAAAAAACTGTGGTGACAGCGCTGCCAGGTTGCGGGCCCTCCTTCCTTTCCTCTGCGCCAGATTGAACAGGCCGAACAGTCTTACACCGTCCCTGCGCGCGTAGCTGAAGCGCGGCTCCGCGGTGCCAGCGTTGGCGCCACGCCCAGTTTCGCGCCAGATCCAAACCGCCAGCTCGCGCGCCTGCTCCGCGCTTGCCCGGGCACGACATCGCCGCCCCGCCCACTCCTCGCATTTCTGCGCACCCTTCGCAATGCCACTCGCGGCGCCCAGCACCCACGCGGGGGCGCGGAGGAGGCGCAGCACTGACCCGTTGCTTGAAGCATGCTGAGATAACGTCGCTGCTAACCGGCACGCGGTTATCAATACTTCGAACGCAGGTTCGCTCGGCGGCCAGGGCTCGACCCCCGCCGCCCAGCGCGCGCGCGGCGGGCTCGCGCGCCGCGGGCGGCGCGATTGCACACCCCCAATTAATTGCAGGATCAGCAGCGCAACCCCCAGCACGCCACTGATGAGGCGCTCTGGGCCGCAATCTTGCGCCATTGGCCCAATTCTACCCGCGCGGCGGCGAGGCTGATCATCTCGCGCCGGTAGCTATCCAATCCCGCTGCAATCAACGCCTCGCCTCCCTCCGACGGGCACGCCGGGAGGCCGAGCGCCGCCGGGGCCCCGGTGGCCCGCCCGAGCAGCCTGAGGAGGCAGGCCAGCCGCATCGGACACGGCGGACGTTCCTTCTCCCTGCGACTCGAAGCTGGGTCCCAACGTTGTCAGCCCCAACGCTGCAAGTAGAAAAATGAGCAGTGGCAGCAAACAGCGGAGGACAATGAGGAGATAGAGGAGGACATGCGGGATGTGGCAGAGGAAGGGGGGGAAGAGAAGGAGAAGGATGAGGAGGAGGAGGAGGAGGAGAAGCAGCAGGAGGAGAGGAGGGAGATCGTGGACGAGGAGGCGGCCGTGGAGGAGAAAGACAAGGACGACGTCGACGACGAGGGGGCGTCAACCTCCTGCTGCTGCGAGGGGGCCAGCTCGCAGTAGAAAAGCGGGCGTTGGCCGCAACAGGCTCGGGGGCACTTCAAATCCGTCAGCTGCAATGTTGGGATCAGCGCGTGCTCGAAAAAGGAAAACGGGCACTTGAAGGTGTTAACAAAGAGCAAGTGCAAACAACGACAACGACAACAACAACAACAACAACAACAACAACAACAACAGCAACAGCAACAACAACAGCAACAACAACAACAACCATTTTAAGGCTGTGCGCTCTTACTTGCCCGCGAGTCATTCAACACGTATATCCTACACCCTCGATGCCCGCCCTCCTCGTCTTCGATCACACCCCTTTCGGGGGGACTATTTCTCTTTGCTGGGGCCGGCGGGCTTAGACGTACGGGCAAACCGGAACGGGCGGACAATCCTTCGGGGGCGTACATCTCTCTGCCCGCCATTGGAATTGGCGCGGGCCCTGCAAGAGGAGGAGGGGAAGAACGAGGGAGAGTGGGAGGAAGGGGAGGGGGAAGGACGAAGGAAGAGGGAAGATACCACGTTGTGAAGGCGTCCTTGGCGCGCGCGTGGTTCCTGAGCGCCGAAACGCAATTCCACAATAATTTGTGAGGACGTCGCACGCGAGAGCGCAGTCCTGAGTACATTGTGAGGAAATCTCAGCGGAAGCGGGGGCCCTGACTAAGTTGCGAGGAAGTCTCAAGCGGGAGCGCCGTTCCTGAGCAAATTGCACGGAAGTCTCAGGCGGGAGCGGGGGTCCTCACTAAATTGCGAGGCAGTCTCAAGCGGGAGCGCCGTTCCTGAGTCAATTGCGCGGAAATGTCAAGCAGGAGCGGGGGTCCTGAGTAAAATTCGAAGAAGTCCCAGGCGGGAGCGCCGTTCCCACGTAAATTGCACGGAAGTCTCAAGCGGGAACGGGGGTCTTGATTACATTGCGAGGAAGTCTCAGACGGGAGCGCCTTTCCTGAGTAAATTGCGCGGAAGTCTCAGGCGGGAGCGGGGGTCCTGAGTACAAATCGAGGAAGTCTCAAGCGGGAGCCGTTGTTGTTGTAGCCCGGGGGGCAGAGGCACAGTTTGAGCAGGAAGACTTTCTTGGAGAAAAAACAAAGTGCGAGCCCCGGGGGTGGCACTTCAATCGAAAAAAATCAATGTGCACCGGTGGGGGGGGATCAGCAATAATTATTCTTCAAGAATGAGAGAACAACAACAACAACAACAACAACAACAACAACAACAACAACAACAAGTACTAGCACGTGGGGACACTCCGTTCTCACCAGTGCCAGGGTTTTCATAGGAGGCGGGCAATACCCCCACTTTGTGGGGGGGCCGGTTCAAGCTCTACCAAATTTCCAAACGACTCTTCGCCACCACCCACACCCAGCTTCCCGCCCTATGACGTTCGGACACTTCACTTCGTGGCATGCGGACGACCGTGGCTACTATTCAGGGCCCCGCGGCCGACGACGACGGCGTGCGCGCGCGAAGAAAAAACGAATGTGTCCCGCATGGTATTATTTGACAGGGATGATGGCCCTGGCAGGTGCGCAACCGTTGTTGCAGAAGTTCGAAAAAGTTGCTCGCAAAAGCCCGTTTGACAGAAATGTTTAAAAAGTGTTGGGTTTCCTACGAATCCGCAAGAGCGCGCGGGATGAAATTTTGACAATTTTTTTTGAAAAACCATTGGTTTTTTTTTATGTTTTTATGTTAAAATCGCTACGAAAACTAAGGTTTTGGAAGGATTTCGTCTTGCGCGCGCGAATGTCCACTTTACCTTATTTGTTGCAAGGGGTTCTTGAAGTTTGGATATGTTAGAACAAGAAATGTCCACTTTAGCTTATTTTTTGCAAGGGAAAACCGATCGTAACAACACAACCGGATCCGGACCAACCAGTTTTGCCTGAGACTTCTTCACGAAAATGATGAAAACGTGGCTGCGGCCTAGGCGCGGCGGGGGGGCCATGCACCAGGGGTCCCAACAATAATTATTCTTTAGAAGTAATAATGTTCAACAACAACAACAACAACAACAACAACAACAACAATCAGCAACAGCAACAAGACTGCTCGCCCTTATCTGTCGAGTGTTGAATAACGCGCATTTCCCAAAGCCTCAATACCCGCCCTCGTCGTCTTCGATCGAACCCCTTTTAGAAAGGGGTGTAGCTTTCTTCCCTGCAGGCTGGTCTCCGGCAAGCGGTGGGGCGGCCGCGGACCGTCGGCCCGACCCCAAGAGGGACGGACAGGGACCGCCGACGACGCCGACGAGCGAAAGCGTGAGAGAACGACAGCAGGGCCACGAAGGACACGAAGCAGGCCACGAAGGGCGACAGCGGGGACACGAAAGGAATGCGTATTTGGGCTACGACAAGCGCGAGCGCGTGTGGGCCACGACGGGCAGATAACGCAGGGCCACAGAAGGCAACGATAGGGCCACTGATGGTAGCAATTCGGCCACGTAGGACAGTGATGGGGGCCACAAGCAGAGGTAGTGGGGCCACGAAAGGAAAGCGTATGGGACCACGAAGAGCGCGAACGAACGGGGACCACAAAGGGTATACGTATGTTGGGCCGCGGAGGGTAAGGACGGGGCCACTGAGGGCAGCAACGGGGCCACGAAGGGCAGTGAGGGGGCCGCGAAGGGGGGCGAGCACATGGGGCAACAACGGGCGCGAACGAACGGGTGCCACGAAGGGCAGACAGATATGGAGCCTCGAAGGGCTGCGAGGGGACCACGAAGGGCTGCAACGGGGCCACGCAGTGCGGCAACGGGGCCGCGCAGGGCAGCGAGGGGGCCACGAAGGGCTGCAACGTGGACACGAAACAAAGCGAGCCACGAAGCGCTGCAACGGGGCAGCGACACAAAGAGAGGGGGCCACGAAGGGCGGCAACGGGGCCACGAAGGGCAGCGAGGAGGCCACGAGGGGCTCCAACAGGGCCACGAAACAAAGCGAGGGGGCCACGAAGGGCTGCAACAGGGCCACGACACAAAGCGAGGGAGCCACGAATGGCGGCAACGTGGCCACGAAGGCAACGAGATCCCGATCCCTAGGCAATATTTGAAAAGGGGCCTACGCGTGATCGCGACTCCTGGGTGCCTGGGTGTCGGGGGCGCGGCGCTTGAGTAAGTCACAAGAAAGTCAATCGCAAGGCCGCTATTCGTCAGTTAATTGGAAGGAGGTCTCCAGCGACAGCGCGACTCCAGAGTGCCGGAAGAGCGATCCCATAAGAAATTGTCCGGAAATCCAAAGAGAGAGAGAGAGAGAGAGAGAGAGAGAGAGAGAGAGCGCGCGCGCGCGCGCGATTCCCCTAGTAAAATGCGAGGAAGTATCTGGCCGGAGCGGGGGACCTGGCCAAATTGTGAGGCAGTCCGCCGGCCCCTTGTGTGGCTCTAGGCGTATGAGATACCTCCCCCCCGTGACCTCCCCAGTGACCTCAAACCGGAGATTTGACCTCCCCTCCCCGGCCCCGGGGGCCCCCACCGCCGAACGCGTCATGGGGGAGCAGAAAGTCCCAAAACTGGCCCAAAGCGCAGAAACGCACCCATGCGACGGTCCAGGAAGGCCCCAAGACGCCTCCAAGACGGTCCACGAGGGCCCCGAGACGCCAAACGAGCGCTCCAAGACGCCCACGATGGCCCAAAGACGGCCGGGCTACGACGCCTCCCAGACGGCCCAAGGGAGCTTCACGAGGCCCCAAGAGGCCCCCACGATGCACCCCAAGAGGGTCCCCAGACGCAACAGATTTGCCCATCCCCACTGCAAACGCACAATTTCACAAATTCGCCCCCTGGGTTTCCCGATGCCCCCAGACGGCCCAAGAGGCCCAGAAGACCGCCCCAAGACGGCCCAAGAAGCCTCTAAGAGGGTCCCAAGATAGCCCAAGAGGGCCCAAGGACGGCCCAATAGGCGTCCAAGACGGTCCAAGAGGGCCCCGGAGACGGCCACAAGAGCGCTCCAGGAGCGCTCCAAGCGCGCTACAAAGAGAGCTCAATGTGGTCTCAAACGGCCCAAGACCGATCAAAGACACCGAAGCTGACCTCCAGACGGCCCGCGCAACAATTTGCCCGTTCCCTTCGTGAAACGTACCTTTTTCACAAGTTCGCCTTTTGGGCTTTCCGATGCTCCCAGGCGGCCCAGGAGGCCCCCAAGACCGCCCCAAGACGGTCCAAGAAGCCTCCAAGAGGGCCCCAAGACAGCCCAAGAGGGTGCCAAGACGGCTCAAGAAGCGCCGGAGACAGCCCAAGAGGGCCCCGAAGACGGCCCCAAGAGCGCTCCAAGTGGCTTCCAAGAGGGCCCAACATGGTCCCACACTGTCCAAGAGCGATCGAATACATCCGAGTTGGCCTCCAGATGGCCCATGACGCCCACAAGAGGCTCCCAAGATGGGACGCAAAAAATTGCCCATCTCCTTTGTAAAACGGGCATGTTTCACGAAGTCGCCTCGTAGGCTTCTCGTAGGCTTTCCGTCGCTCCAAGACGGCCCAAGAGGCCCCGAAGACCGCCCCAAGACGGCCCCACGACTGCCCAATATTGCGCCAAGACAGCCCAAAAAAGGCTGCAAGGGTAACCAAAAACTCAAAAATCTAGCTGTCCGCCCCCGCGAGCCCCAGGGGCCCCAAGAGTGCCCCAGAGGCCGCCGAAGGCTCCCAAGAGGCCGCCAAGACGCCCCAAGGAACCCCCAAGAAGCTC